CCTCTCCTTCCTCCCCTTCATCATCATCTTCATCTTCTTCACCTTCATCCTCATCCCCTTCTTCATCAATATCTTCTAATCCTTCCTCCTCTTCATCATCATCATCATCTTCTCCTTCTCCTTCATCATCCATATTAGGAACCAAGTAGTACTGCAATGGGTTTGGCCAAATATCATCTTTAATGACCTCTCCTAACTTATCAGCACGTGCATCAGAATGGTCAGTAAACCAGGTAAAGAAGCTCTCTGGTTCCTCATGCTGCTTCTTCCTGCTGGCTTTATTCTGTGTTTGACTTGAACGTTTCATCAAATCCTTTCCAGATTTCCATTTGATTTCAGTGGACTTTGAAGATGGATCACCACTCTCATTCAGATGAAATTCTTTGGAGAAAACTTTATTTTCAAAGTAAGGATTTTCATCAAAATAAAAATCTATTCTGTAACCTGATTTAATATCTTCAAATTCTGTCACTTCAACTTTGGTCAAATAATGCAGTGCCTCTTCATCCTCCTCCCCAAGCAGTGCAGACATTTGTGGATGGTTGACAAATGTTGTTACCCAAAAATCTGGCATTTTGGCGATCAATTCTGACCTCTTCTGACAAAATGGTTGGCAGAGTTTGTTATATTTCTGTTCTACTTTCAAAATCTCCTCACTGTCTTGTTCATTAAGTCTGTCTATTTCATTTTGTACTTCATCAATGTGTTCAATTGCTTCTTGCTGTTCTTTTTCTCCCTTCTTCAGCAAGCCTGCAGAGGCTGATGTGTCCTCTGGTCCCAGAGCAGGAGGTGGTCTTGGTTTCTTCTTTTCAAGTGGGAGTGGAGACTGGCGTTTAGGGGCCATGCTGTTAGGGAAGTCCAAGAACCAGACCACGAGTCTCCTTGCTCGTCTGGAAGCAGGCAGAACACTCTAGTATATACTGTTAAATGAGGAAAAACAAGATGCAGAATAGTAAATATATAGTATGCATGTTACCTTATGTTTAAGAAGGGGTGATCTGAGTACATGGAATATGTGGAATACACACATATACATATACACATTCATTCTTTTTTCCAAGGTAAAAAGGAATTTACCCACTTTATTTCAAGTAGTATATAATTTCACTTTTTATATTTAGCTGTCCTATCCATTACATTTTTATATATAGTTGGTTTTTTTTTTTTTTTTTTTTTTGAGATGGAGTTTCGCTCTTGTCACCCAGGCTGGAGTGGAGTGGCTTGATAATCGGCTCACTGCAACCTCCACTTCCCAGGTTCAAGCAATTCTCCTGCCTCAGCCTCCCGAGTAGCTGGGATTACAGGCCTGTACCACTACGCCCAGCTAATTTTATATTTTCAGTAGAGACAAGGTTTCACCATGTTGGCCAGGCAGGCCTTGAACTCCAGACCTCAGGTGATCCGCCCACCTGGGCCTTCCAAAGTGCTGGGATTACAGGTGGGCACCAGCATGGTCAGCGAATTTTTATATATAGTTCTTAAAAACAACAACAATGACAACAACAACAACAAAAACACTACTCAGCTGGGCATGGTGGCACATACCTATAGTTTCAACTACTCAGGAGGTTGAGGCAGGAAGATCACTTGAGCCCAGGAGTTCAAGGTCAGCCTGGACAACATGACAAGATCTCTCTCTCTCTGAAAAGCTTTTCGCTTTTTTTTTTTTTTTTTAATTTATTGAGATGGAGTCTCCATCTCGGCTCACTGCAACCTCTGCCTCCCAGGTTCAAGCGATTCTCCTGCCTCAACCTCCCGAGTAGCTGTGATTTGAAATTTTTCCTGTTAAAACATTCACTTTTTGTTTTGAAACAGGGTCTCACTCTGTCACTCAGGCTGAAGTGCAGAGGCACAATCAGGGCTCACTGCAGCCTCTAACCCCTGGTTTAGGTGATCCTTCCGCCTCAGCCTCCTGAGTAGCTAGGACTACAGGCATGTGCCACCACACCTGGCTTTAATTTTATTTATTTATTTATTTATTTATTTATTTATTTATTTCGTAAGTAAGTAAGTAGAGACGAGGCCTTGCTATGCTGCCAAGGCTGTTCTTGGACTCCTGGGCTCAAGCAATCCTCCCACCTCAGACTCCCAAAATGTTGGGATTACTGGTGTGAGCCACCAAGCTCAGCCTAAACATTTTTAAAGAGGGAGAAATAATGCATCAAAAATGGGTTTGTTTTCATGAGATTGAAGTTCTTGAAAGAAGTTTTTCCTTCCAAGGCAATTTTACCTACATTTATTTTTCACACATTAAGATCACAGTTAAAGATAACCCTAAACCAAATTACGAGTTTAGCCATGTTTACCTTCACAGCTCCCACTGCTAGTTCCTTAAACTCTCTTTTCCTCCTGATCAAAAATGCTTTCAGGAAGAACATCTGAAAACCTCACTCACATTAGGGATAAATGACTATAGAGATGAATTAAAATAAAAATAATGCTTTAAGTTAAATTATCTAATGGTAGAATGTGAAGCATCAAAGACAAGATTTTTTTTTTTTTTTTTTTTTTTTTTTTTTTTTTTTTTTTTAGAGACAATCTTGTTCTATTGCCCAGGCTAAGTACTGCAGCACTGCAATGTGATCATAACTTACTGCAGCCTTGAACTCCTGGCCTCAAGCAATCCTCCCACCTCAACTTCCCAGTGCTGGAATTACAGGTGTGAGCTACCATGCCCAGCCATGTTTTGTTTTTTTAAGGGAGTACTTACTTATTCTTTAATCATTTCACATAGCTGCCTAAGCTACCTTAAGTTTTGTTATTTCTATATATATTTCTTAAGACGGAGTCTTGCGCTGTTACCCAGGCTGGAGTGCAGTCACACGATCTCGGCTCACTGCAACCTCTGCAGTGAAACGATACAGTTAAGTGATTCTCCTGCCCCAGTCTCCCAAGTAGCTGGGACCACAGGCACGCACCATCACACCTGGCTAATTCTGGTATTTTTAGTAGAACCGGGGTTTTGCCATATTGGCCAGGCTGGTTTTAAATTCCTGACCTCAAGTGATCTGCCTGACTTGGCCTTCCAATGTGTTGGAATTACAGGCATGAGCCACCACACCTGGCCTAACTTAAGTTGTTTTAAGATAAAACATGAACCAGAAATCATTCTGTCACCCATTTGCAACCAGAGAGTAGCCTAGTTGTTACTTTATCAGATGATAAAGAGGCCTGGTAGAAATTTGGCAGGGCTTTGAAGGGAGTCTGGTGCTAGACTGCCTGGGTGTTTTTTTCATTTTTTTTTTTAACCTATAGATATTTAAGGTATACAACATGATGTTTTGACATACAGAGTAAAACGATATAGTCAAGCACATATCATCATCACACATACTTTTTTTCCCTCTCACCACACAGTTACTTTTTTGTGGTATGAGCACCTAAAATCTAATCACTTAGCAAATTTCTAGTATACAACAAATATTATTACCTATAGTTCTCATGCTATACATTAGATCTCTATACTTACTCATCCTACATAAATGCAACTTCCCCAACCACCTTTCTACTGTTTACGTACTTCTAAAAAGATCCTATATATGAGAGTATGTATGCAGTATTTGTCTTTTTTTTTGAGATGGAGTCTGGCTCTGTCACCCAGGCTGGGGTGCAGTGGTGATCTTGACTCACTGCAAGCTCCACCTCCTGGGTTCACACCATTCTCCTGCCTCAGCTTCCTGAGTAGCTGGGACTACAGGTACCCGCCACCACACCTGGCTAACTTTTTTTGTATTTTTAGGAGAGACAGGGTTTCACCATGTTAGTCAGGATGGTCTCGATCTCCTGACCTCGTGATCTGCCCACCTTGGCCTCCTAAGCTGCTGGGATTACAGGCGTGAGGCAGTATTTGTCTTTCTGTGCCTGGCGAATTTTACTCAACTTTACGTCCTCCAGGTTCATCCATGTTGTCACAAATGGCAGGATCTTCTAAGAATGAATATTATTCCATTGTATATATACAACATTATCCATTAATCTATCCTAGGGACAGTTAGGTTGTTTCTATATCTTAGCTATTGTGAATAATGCTGCAACAAATATGAAAGTGCAGATATCTCTATGAGGTGCTAATTTCATTTCCTTTGGGTATATACCTGAAGAGGGTTTGTTGGATCACGTCATAGTTCTATTTTTAATTTTTTGAGGAACCTCCATACTGTTTTCCATAATGGCTGCACCAATTTACATTCCTACCAAGAGTGTATATAAATTGACTAAATTTGCCAGTCAAAAAATAAAAGATAAATACTGTCTGGGTTATAATATACCATTATTATGGTGTAACACACCATATATTATAGTGTGATATATGACATTGTGTGACCTTGGCCAAGTTACCTATCCTTTGTATGCCTCAGCTTCCTCATCTGTAAATTAGGTCTGAAGACAGTACCTAGCTAAATGGTTGTTGTAAGGATTAACTGAGTTAAAACACACAGAGCAAATAGAGTAGCGTTTATCACATAATAAGGATTCAAATATAATCTACTATTATGTTATCTTTGACACCCCTCTTTTCTACAGGAATAATTAAGAATCAATTATCGATCCAAGCATTTGGAAATTAATTTAAAAAATCAATTATCCAGTTATATTTTTCAGAATTAAGATGTCCAAATATTTTAGAGAGGGCATTACCTGAAGAAAAGGTTACTTCTTGGCCAACCTTATGGTACAAATACAAAGACCTCCTCTCCCCCTTTTTTTTTTTTTTTTTTTGGTAGAGACAGGGTCTCCTTATGTTGCCCAGGCTGGTCTTGAATTCCTGGGCTCAAATGATCCTCCCGCCTTGGCCTCCCAAAGTGCTGGGATTACAGGTGTGAGCCACCGCAAGCTGGTCAATATATTTTCCAAGCAATTCCTTATCTTCACCTTGTGCGCAGAGTTTGTGAATGAAACAGAATTTTTTTTTTTGGAGACAGGGTCTTGCTGTGCTGCTCAGGCTGGAGTCAGTGGTGCAATCATGGCCCACTGCAGCCTCGACCTCCCGGGCTCAAGTCATCATTCCGCCTCTTCTTCCCAAGTAGATGGGACTTGCCCGGCCCAAAGCAGAACTACTGAGTTTTCTTCTTTTGGAGGCAGTAATCAAATAAAAAATAAATACCAAAACCTTAAATGATAATCACGTTTGCTACTTTCTTTGGAACAAAAAAGAATTCTGTATTTCATCCATCCACCACTTCACTGCTCAAAGACTTTGCCCCTTACCTATTTCTCCCTTCTTGGTCATAAACGTTAGGGCATTATATGCAAAGCCCCGTCCTATTAACTGAGCTTTCTCTGATCAAGTCCAAAAGTTTATGAGCTACTCCGCGGATACGAAGGGGATGGGGCCTTCTAGATGCTGTAAGTACCTCTTATATTGGACTCAGAATTGTTCTGACTGGCAGTTTATGAAGGTCTTCCCCTACCCCTCCCATCGCCAATTTTTCTTGCCCCAAACATTTATACCTCAGGGTTAAGAAGCCAGGTAAGTGAGGGTGTGTGACTCGCCCAGTCTTTCGTTGGAAAAAGTGTAGACCTGTCAGGAAGACGCATACAAAGGCTGCATGTGCTGATTTGAACTCGAGCCTCAGTAAAACACTGAATGAATGAACACCAACCGGAAGGGAAAGTAGAGGGGAGGGGATAAGGAGCCTGAGGACTGGTTTGCCCCGCAAGATGGTCCGCGCCGGAGCCATGGGAGGCGGGGTGCCCGCAGGCAGAAGTAAACAGAGCGAGTACGCCTGCGCACGCTCTTCCCGGGTCACGAGCCGGCTTGGTTCTGGGCCTCTGAGGCTCCCCACCGCGGTCCGGCTGCTCTGTGAGTCCGTCTACAAACCGACAAGAGGCGTCAACCTTTTACCCTAGGGGGCGGATTTGGGTAGGAGCCGAGCGTTCGGTTGGAAACGCCCCCTTCTTCCTCCTGGGCGGGGCAAGTGAGGCCAAGTACTGGGCCTCCAGGGCGCCGTACCTCTGTGAGACATGGCTCGCTGTGGGGAAGGCAGCTCGGCCCCCGTGGTACTTCTGGGGTCCGCTGGAGTTTGCAGTAAGGGGTTGCAAAGGAAGGGGCCGTGTGAGCGGCGCCGGCTGAAGGCGACGGTGTCGGAGCAGCTCAGCCAGGATTTGCTCAGGTAGGAGGAGGCGGGAACTCTGGCTGCTTCAGTTCCTAAATCGCCCACCTCCGCCCCGAAGCTGTGGCTTCTTTCGGCTCTGCCTCCCCCTGCCTCAGCACTTGGTTCTCCTCGCCTCAGGCGACTGCGGGTCGTTCGTCAGTCTCCCCACTATTCCGAAAGTGGCTTCGTTCGCCCTGGAATAACCAATGCGGAGCACCACGACACCATGTACCAGATTCAAAAGGAAAACAAAAAAGCTTAATTATGTGCGGCACCAGTTTGCCAGAAATATCTTAACACAGGCACGCTTAGTTGTTTCATATCACTAAGGTCGGGGTGGATCCAGGTCCGGAACACAATTTTTAAAATAAGTTTATACAATTTTAGGAAAAAGAATAAAATTAGGAAAATGATTATTTGAAATGAAACAGCAATACTATAGTCTTGGAGGTCTCTTCTGAGGTCTATTTAAACAGTTTACCAGAAATGCTTCCTGACTGCGACCTGGCTTCCTCTCTCCACCTAGAGCTCTCTGTAGCTCCCAGCAACTCCCAGCTCCTGTCAGGACCAAAGCAAATGGAGGGTCGTCCTGACATTTAACCTTTGTAAGCCTCATGGATATCCATCTCGGGTTATTGGGAATCCCGTTAAAGTAATTTCAGCTTGCAAAGAAAATGAAGCTTAGAAATATGACCTAACTAATTTACATTTCCAGCAAGACATTGATTCTTACATTTCAGTGTGCATCAGAATCACCTGGAGGACTTGCTAAAAACACAGGTTTACTGGGTCCCAGACCATAGTTCTGATTCAGCTGGTCTGAGTTGAGACCGAAATTTTCGATTTCTAACAAGGCCCCAGGTGATGCTAATGCTGCTGGCTAGGGTGACTATGAGAACCACTGAAGTAAACATAGTTAACTAAAATTGTGCAGCATTCTACTTTTTTTTTTTTTTTTTTTTTTTTTGAGACAGAGTCTCGCTCTGTCGCCCAGGCTGGACCCAGTGCAGTGGCGGGATCTTGGCTCACTGCAACCTCCACCTCCCGGGTTCAAGCAGTCCTCCTGCTTCAGCCTCCCCAGTAGCTTGGATTACAGGCACCCGCCACTACGCCCAGCTAATTTTTGTATTTTTAGTAGAGACTGGGTTTCATCATGTTGGCCAGGCTAGTCACGAACTCCTGACCACAAGTGATCCGCCTGCCTCGGCCTCCCAAAATGCTGGGATTACAGGCGTGAGCCACCGCGCCCAGCCAGGATTCTACATTTTAAAGTGCTTTCTGTCAAAAACTCACCCGTACTTAAGGGTCCGGTAGCTATAAACAGAATTTATCAAAGTAAAAAACATTTCCCTTGAATTTAGGACTATCTACTGGGGAAGCTGCTTTGTCTCTACCAGGGAGGGACTGATGAAAAAGATGGAAAAAATAATACTGAAGTTGTTAACGTTTCTAGGGTAACACATCTAATTTATATGAAGAAAATGAGGTTGAAGTATTGCTAGTGAACGATTTATCCTCAGTTACAACTGAGGGTAGGACTCAGAACTCCCAAATTCTTATTATAAACAAAGAAAAATATATATAGCAAGATTTTTTTAAAAACAAAACAAAAAGTCTCACCCAACCACCTTAAACGTTATACTAAATTTTCTCCAAGCATAGCAATGTCATTTATTTATTCTAATAACTAAAAGTTGTGCAGCATTCTACTTTTTTCTTTTACAAATACGAAGTATCTAGCACCAACCACGTACCTAGCCCAGTACTAGGTCTTAAGTAATAAAGGTTAATGTTGTTTGTTCTTACACTCTAGTGAGAGGTAATGGCTAAACAAAAGTGATAGTTGTGGTGGGGTGAGTTGAGAAGACTTTATACGGTGACATTTGAGCGAGCTCTTAGGGATTGGTTAAGAATTGATTAGGCAAAGATTGGGAAGGGAGAGGTAGAGGATATCTACACAAGGGGAATAACTTTTACGGAAGCACAGAAATTTGAAAGAGCTTGATTGATTTTGAGAAAGCAAGTCGTGTTAGACTCTGCCAAAGAGTAAGGAACAGAGACACTCCTAGGTTACCTGACGTGATAAGATATGTAGAGAAGTGAGGAAAAGTGGGAGACAGTTTTAGCCCTCAAAAAGCTGGTTCCAGTGTACAACCGGAAAGTTGTTTGGGATATAACAGTCATACAATAAGACCACATCGACAAATGGACTGTTATTCAGGGCAGTTGTAAAAAAACAAAACTAATATCTATTGCCATCCTACTATTTGCTATACACTGGGCTTACATGAAATGTTTTACTTACTTCTCTCATGAATCCTGTGAGGTAAGCCTTGTTATTCTTATTTAACACATAAGGAAACAATGTTAAAAAAAAGAGATGATGGTGGCACCTGTAGTCCCAGCTACTTGTGAGGCTGGGGCAGGAGAATTGTTTGAACCTGGTAGGTAGAGATTGCAGCGAGCTGAGATTGAGCCACTGCCTTCCAGTCTGGGCATCAGAGCAAGACTCTGTCTCAAAAAAAAGTGATGGAGTCAGAATAAGAACCTTGACAATCTGGCTCCAGAGACTTTCAAGTGACTTGCCCAGGGTCACATAACCAGAATATGAACCCAAGCAGTCTGCCTCCTCTACAGTAAACTGATCTTCCAGTTAACTTTGCACCTTCATCTCCTCTTCTCTCCTTACCCATTTCTTTTTCTACCATAGATTTGCTTAAGAATGCTCTTCAGTGCCATCAGTTGGTTTGTGTTTGTTATAGAACATCTTTGCTGAGGTTCTCCTGCTTGACTACTACATTGGCCAGTGGCTAACCTTGGTTCGGTCCATTGTCCATTCAGATGTGATTAGGATGTAGGGGCATGTGGTACAAACCAGGGCCACATATAAGTAATAATTGAATTTGGTAGCTTTATTTGGAAGGAGACTGTATGGCAGACAATCAAAGTGACAGTAGGTAAGGGTGAATGGGTAGACTAAGACTAGATCATAGGGGCTTTCTTTCTCCAGTGAAATGTTTGTGATGTATTCTAGAAGCAGTGGAGAAACATCAGTGTTTTTAAAATAGGGAATTAACACATTTGGATCTGGAATTTAAGGAAAGGGAAATTGGAAATGGGACCAGCTGCTGGGAGATTTTATAACATTCCAGGGATACATAATGGCAGTGGAAATGGAACAATTGATAGGCTTGGTGACTGATGACATGCTGGGGAACAGGGTAAAGGAAGCATTGAAAATGGCCCCAAATCTTAGGATATTTGAAAGGAAAGCATTTAGGCTACTACCATACCACCCTGAACAAGCCCGATCTTGCCTGAAAGGGAGGTGTATAATGAATGTCCAGCTACCTATATCCAGGAAACAACTGGAAATGTGTCTGGAGTAGAGGAGGGAAGTTGGATTAGCAGATTGGTAGTATCACTAGCACCCAGTTATCCAAATATGAGAGAGATCCAAGTTATTCCCTTCCGTGCCAATTTTACCAACTCCTGCCAATTTTATTACCTAAATATATTTTAATGTCATCCCCTCTTTATCACCATTGATCCTCTCCTGGCTTCATTAATCTGTGTGGTAGTTTTCTCATCTTCATTCTCATTTTCGTCTGACTCCTCTTCTACACAAATTTATATATTTTGAAAAATAAATTTGCCATTGTTTCAAACCAGTTACAGGGCAAACACGCCTGATAGCAATAATGTAGGCATAACCTTAAAATGACCCTGTATGGTGGATGTACCTGCGTGTGTTTCGAGCTAGGGAATCTGGGAGTCGCCATCCCGGAGATTAGTTCCTTGTCTGTGAGGAACATCTGAGCTCCTGGGCCCATACTGTGGAACACAGGCTGTAAAGGGGATTGAAGCTGTGAGTTTTGGGGGGAGTGTGGGGGGTCTATGAAGATTGCCAGGACATTAAGGGAATGTAGAGGACATACATAATGTGGAGGACATTAAGGGAAGGGGGTTAAGTGAAAATGCTATATAAACTTCTATGCTGCTTGCAAGGGTTTGCAGTTTTCCTTCCCAGTCCGTCACCACTGGACTGTAGGTAAGGTGGATACCTTGTCTGGCCTGCCATCACTGGACTCTCTCCCCTGTATGTAAACCCCTGATAAAAGCCTATGTCTCATTTGCTGGCTCTGGGTCTCTTCAGCCTCTTGAGCCTGTTGCCTTCCCTGTTGAGGTTAATAGAGGTTCAGCACACACAATTTTGTGACTCCTCTTTCACTGTAAGATACAGTTAAGCTCTTTGCCTCTTATTCATCTTTATCTCTGCAGTTTCATCTGCCATTTCACACCCTCTCAGTACTTTATGCTGACTGATGTATAGTTCCACACTCACACGTATCTTTGTAAGGAACATGGAGCCAGGCACTTACCTTGCCTTACTTCCCTAACCAACTCTTACTCAGTATTTAAAATCCCATTTGGTTTTCATGCCCTCTATGAGGTCTCCTCTTTTGTTTGTCCCTGAACAAAATTTACTTATGCTACTGAATATATCACACACTTTAATTTTCAGACCTGGCTTCCCTACTATACTATAAACTCCCTGAGGATAGGTATTATGTTTTAGTCATCTTTGTGTTTCCAGTGCTTAGTACATAGTATTTGCTCGGTAAATGTTTAGTGATAACTGGGTTTTATCAGCAATCTAACTTGCTTTAGGTAAGTTACGCTACAGTTTGAATGTTTGTCCTCTCAAAACTCATGTTGAAATTTACGGCCTGGCTGGGCATGGTGGCTTATGCCTGTAATCCCAGCACTTTGGGAGGCCAGGGCAAGCAGATCACTTGAGGTCAGGAGTTCGAGACCAGCCTGGCCAACAAAGTGAAACCCTATCCCTAGTAAAAATACAAAAATTAGCCTGGCATGGTGGCACGCATCTGTACTCCCAGCTACTCAGGAGGCTGAGGCAGGAGAATCGCTTGAACCCAGGAGGTAGAGGTTGCAGTGAGCCAAGATCACGCCACTGCACTCCAGCCTGGGTGAGAGTGAGACTCCATCTAAAAAATAATAATAATTTACAGGCTAGGCAGGTGGCTTATTCCTGCAATCCCAGCACTTTGGGAGGCTCAGGGGGACGGATTGCTTGAGCTCAGTGTTGGGGTGATCAGACCCAACACCAGGCCTTGGGGGCTATGAAGTTCGGTGGAGTCAAAAGAATGAGACAAGACATAAAGTGGGACCAGGGGGCAACACTAGTATGGAGGCCGTGAGGGCCCTGAACTCTGGAAGCCTGCACTATTTATTGGCGATCAAACAAGCAGATGGTAAGGATGTGGGGGTTGAAAGAAAGCAGTGTATCAAGTGCATTATCTATAGTTGTGACGGTTTAGCATTTTCTTTGAAGCATATGGAACATGTTCTGCTACTTGAGATAATGGGAAACATGTTCGTCTAGTTTAGGATACAATTGATCTATGAGTCTGGGAGTGCTAGAAGCAAGAAGCCAGAGACCATGAGGGGTTTTATGCCCTGAGCCCTGGATTCCATCCAAGCCATGAGGGGTTTAATGCCCTGGGCTTAGATTGTGGTGCAGCAGGGCAGCCTTCCACCCTTCGGCACAGAGCTTGGTGTTCCAAAGGCAATGAGGGGTTTTAGACGCTGGACCCCAGACATGTTCCAAGATTCTTTTACATTATGTCAGATATGCAAGCCCTGCCTCAGCTTTTTTCCTGACACTCAGCTTTTCCCCAACACTCAGGAGTTTAAGACCAGCCAGGGAAACATGGCAAAATCCTGTCTCTCCAAAAGATACAAAAATTATCCAGGTGTGATGATGCTTCCCTGTGGTCCCAGCTGCTTGGGAGGCTGAGGTGAGAGGATCCCTTGAGCTCGGGTGGTGGTGGTTGCAATGAGCCGAGATGGTACCACTGCACTCCAGCCTGGGCAACAGGGCAAGACTCTGTCTCAAAAAAAAAAAAAAAAAAAAAAAAAAATTTAATTGCCATTGTAGCAGTATCAAGAGGTAGGACCCTTAAGAAATGATTAAGCCAAGAGGGCTCCACCCTTGTGGATGAGATTGGTAGTGTTATAAAAGGATGAATTTGGCTCCTTCTTGCTCCCTTTTATCCTTTATCCTTCTACCGTGTGATGACTTACCCTTGCAGATGGTAGCACCTTAATGTTGGACTTCCCCGCCTCCGGGACTGTGAACCAATAAATGTTTGTTCATTATAAATTACCTATCCTGTGGTATTCTGTTACAGCAGCACAAATGGACTACGATAGGTGAATACAGTAGTTGGCAAAGATATGAGATGGAAAGAAGCTGGGCCTTGGCATCATTGAGACTTTGCTCCAATCTGTCCTTCCTCTGGACTTTACTATTCGATGAGCCAGTAAACTCCCTAATGTTTAAGCCAGTCTGAATCAGATTTTCAGATTTGTAACAGATATAAAGTATACTTGAAACTGATAAAAGTGGTTCTATCAAATGAAAAGAACTGTATTTTCACATTAACAATTTTATACACACTTTTCCCCCCCCCCCATTTAGCAAGTACTCATGAGCATCCATTAGCGGCAAGGTGGATTTCCTGCCAGTGGTTGTATGGCTACCAGTTGCAGTGCTTCCTTATTCACTTGAGGGGTGGGATGGGGGAAGGAGGGTGGGAGGAAGGAACAAATTGAGTGTTTATACAGTTTCTGTTTCAATTAAAGTTTGAGAGCCCAACACATTTTTGTGTAACTTTAAAGATTACTTATGAAAATAATTTATTGAAAATATTGACCAAACTAAGATGCACCTGTTTGGCCATTATTTTCAAGGTTTAAAAGCTTTTGTGCTGTGAAGCATTTGTTTTGTCTAGGGTAAAATAGGATCATTCAATAAGCAGATATTGAACTCTTGCTGTATACTGAAGATACAGTTTTTGCCCTTGGGGAGTCACAGAAATACTATAATAGAGGTATGCGCTGAGTCTGATGGGATTAGAGGAAGGAGCCATTAACTTGGTGCTGGGGGAGTATGAGTGTCATTGGCAACTTTCTAAGCTTTCACTGTAATGGATATCTTTATCCGTTACTTGTACCTCCTGTAGTGTACTGTTGTGATTGCCAGTTTTATATATCCTGTAATACAGAAGTCCTCTGAGAATACGTACCTTGCTGATGATATTGCTATAGTGATATGAAGTATTATTTAATATTTAGAGAGTAAAATATATAGTTACTGCAAAGAGACAAAAGATTATATTATGACATTTTCTATTATGTTGATTTCTGTTCTATCACTCATGGATATGTATAATCAGTGGGCTTTACAGTAACTATGTCTGTACATTAGCAAAGGGATTTGAAAGGGTTTACCTCATGAATCCATCATTTAATGATAGATTAGAGCATAATTCTATTTGTGGGAGTGGGAGACTGGAAAAGAGACTAAATGTCACATTTTTGACAGCCACACCTGGATTTCCGACTTGGTAATTAACATTAGCCGGAACTAAGTACCAGCTTCTAACCTGAATTTTCAACTGACATGTGTGGTTTGTTGCTGTCATTGACTATTAACTTTTTTTTTTGGCTTCAATTTAAGTAAGATTTTAAAAAATGGATTCTTTTAAATAATTAAAGATCATGTCAACTTTGCATTTTAAAAATAAATCTAAAGTACATCTAAAGACAAATCGACATAAGTAGCAGAAAATGATTTTTTTATTATCAGAAGGAATTCATAAGAAAAAATATTTTGAAACAGTAGTCTTACTCTTTTAGTGAAATTATCTTTTTTTCACTATGAATTTTAGAAAATTAGGCGCTAAGCCAATATTAAACAATCTTCTTTGGAATGAACTGAGGACAAACTTATTTTTATATTAACTTTATGTTGCCTCTGTATTTTTTAGCTTGTGTGTTATTTTTAAACCTACTTTATAAAAATATGTATATGTTTCTTAGCATCACTAATTAAACTATGATTCCTTTTTATTCCTTATAGGCTTCTAAGGGAAGAATTCCATACAGATGTTACCTTCTCTGTGGGTTGTACTTTGTTCAAAGCACACAAAGCAGTCCTTTTAGCAAGAGTTCCTGACTTCTATTTTCATACTCTTGGACAGACATCAAATAGTTTAACAAATCAGGAGCCTGTTGCTGTGGAGAATGTTGAAGCTTTAGAATTTAGAACGTTTTTACAGTAAGTGCTTTCTTTATTCATATAAGTCTAATATGTAATTGCTTATTTTTAACATGTGTGTTTTTATTTAATATATTTTCATATGTATTTTGTAACCTGATAAGAAAAATCCATTCACTTAAATTCCAAATTATCTTAGTAATTAGTGTTAATAGAGGCTAAGTGTTAATATTAGAAGCTTAGTAGTGGTAGAGGCTAAGCATTAAGCTAAGACTGATCCTGAGAAAGGGGAAATGGTGTGCTCTGTAGTAATTTAAATGAATTAGTCTATTCCAGGATTTCTCAGCAGTGGCACTATTGGCATTTCAGGTTGTATAATTATTTGTTGTGGGGACAATGCTGTGCATTTTAGGATGTTTAGTTGAGACCGAAATATCTCCAGACATTGCCAGATGTCCTCTGGAGGTTCTGATTGCCCCCTGTTGAGAACCATTGCTACGTACTGACTTCTGTATTGTTGGTATATGAAACTTTATGTATATTTATAAAAATATAACATCATAACTGTTTTTATTCTCATGGCTTATGTCTTAGTCCATTTGGGCTGCTATAACAAAATACCTTAGACTGGGTAATTGGTGAACAACAGAAACGTATTGATCACAGTTCGGGAGCCTGGGAAGTCCAAGATCAAGGTGCCAGCAGATTCAGTGCCTGGTGAGGGTTAGTTACTTGAAGACAGCATCTTCTCTGTGTCCTCACATGGCAAAAGGGATTAACAAACTTTCTTGGGTCTTTTTTATAAGAGCACTAATCTCATTCGTGAGGATGGAGCCCTCATGACCTAATCATCTCTCAAATGTCCCACCTCTTCATACCACCACATTGGGGATTAAGTTTCATCATATGAATTTTGGGGATGGGGGACACAAACATTCAGACCATAGTAACTTGTATTTGGTCAAATTGTTTTTTTAGAACAGAACATCTTGGGGATTCATGTTTTAACTCAGAATTGTCATCAGCTAAATAATGGGAGAAACCAGTTTAAATTAATCTTCATTTTGTACTTCATTTCTTTTTGTTGTTGCATAATATTTCATTGTACGGCTATTCCACATTTTGTTAATCCATTCGTTGCCATTTAAATTGTTTCTATTAGTACTTTTTGGCTATGATGAATAATGCTGCTATAACACTTATATACAAATTTTTTTGTGAACCTATGTTATTATTTTTCTTGAGTATATACCTAGGAGTGGAATTGCTGGGTCATATATATAGTAACCATGTTTAACCTTTTGAGGAACTTCTAAACCGTTTTCCAAACTGGCTATAACATTTTACATTCCCACTAGCAATGTAAGAGGGCTTCGGTTTCTCCACATCCTCAGCATACTTGTTATTATCTTCTGTATTTTTTATTATTACCCTCCTTGTGGATGTGAACTGGTATCTCATTATAGTTTTCATTTGTATTTCCCTGATGACTCATGATGTTGAGCATATTATCATATGCTTATTTGCCATTTTTATGTCTTTGGAGAACTATCTACATCCTTTGCCCATTTTGAAATTGGGCTCTCTTTATATTATTGACTTCTAAATGTTCTTTATATATTCTGTAATGTTAGACTCTTATCACAAATACGATTTATAAATATTTTCTCCTATTCTCTGGGTTGTCTTTTCACTTTCACGATGGTATCATTTATGACACAAAAGTTTTAAATTCTTATGTAGTCAGGCCAGGTGCAGTGGCTCATGCCTGTAATCCCAGCACTTTAGGAGGCTGAGGTGGGCAGATCACCTGAGGTCAGGAGTTCAAGACCAGCCTGGCCAACAGACGGCAACCCCGTCTCCATTAAAAATACGAAAAAGTTAGCTGGGCATGGTGATGCATGCCTGTAATCCCAGCTACTTGGGAAGCTGAGGCAGGAGAATCACCCGAACCCAGAAGGTGGAGGTTGCAGTGAGCTGAGATTGTACCATTGCACTCCAGCCTCGGTGACGGAGCAAGATTCCATCTCAAAAAAAAAAAAAAAATTATGTAGTCTAGCTTATGTAATTTTTCTTTTGTCGCTGTGCTTTTGGTGTGATGGCTAAGAAACCATTACCTAATCCATAGTCTTGAGGATTTACTCATTAATATGGTTTGGATTTGTGTCTCCACCCAAATCTCATGTCAAATTGTGATCTCCAGTGTTGGAGGAGGGGCCTAGTAGGAGGTGATTGGATCATGGGGATGGATTTCCCCCTTGACGTTCTTGTGATAGTGAGTTCTAAGGAGATCTGGTTATTTACAAGTGTGTAGCACCTCCTCCTTGTTCTCTAGAGCTCTTCCTCCTTCCTTGGCCATGTAAGACGTGCTTCCTTCTTCTTCGCCTTCTGCCTTGATTGTAAGTTTCATGAGGCCTCCCCTGTTATGCTTCCATGCCTTCCTGTACAGCCTGGGGAACCGGGAGTCAATTAAACCTCTTTTCATTATAAATTACGCTGTCTCAGGTAGTTCTTGATAGCAGTGTGAGAACGAACTAATGTACTCGTGTGTGTGTGTGTGTGTATGTGTATGTGTGTGTGTGTGTATATATTTTTTTGAGACAGGGTTTTGCTGTGTTTCGTAGGCTGGACTCTTAACTCCTGGGCCCAAGTGAGTCTCCCAAGTAGCAGAGATTACAGGCATGTGCCACGATGCCCAGGTTACTCCTATATTTTCTTCTAAGAATTTAATGTTTTTATATTTTTAGCTCTTACATGTAGGTCTTTGATCCATTTTGAGTTAATTGCCATGTATCATGTAAGGAAGGGGTCTAGCTTCATTCTTTTGTATGCAGATATGCAGTTGTCACAGCACCAATTTTTCCTCCTCCTCTCCCTTCTTTTCCTCAGATTGTCTAGACACTTACTGAAAATCAGTTGCCCATTGCTGTCGACTGCAGTTGTCTCCACCCAAAATTTATATGTTGAAGCCTTAGCCCTCAGTGTGATAGCAGATGGAGATCGGGCCTTTGGGAGATAGGTTGAGATGAGTTCATGAAGGTGGGGTCTTCATGAGGATTAGTGCCTGTATAAGAAGACTCAGGGTGGGTACAGTGACTCATGCCTGTAGTCCCAGCACTTTGCGGGGGCAGAGGTGGGTGGATCACTTGAGTCCAGGGGTTTGAGACCAGCCTGGGCAACATGGCAAAACTCAATCTTTACCAAAAATACAAAATATTAGCTGGATGTGATGGTGTGCAGCTAATAGTCTTGGCTACTCAGGAGGCTGAGGTGGGAGGATCACTTGAGCCCAGAGGCAGAGTAGTGAGCTGAGATCAGGCCACTGCACGAGCCTGGGCCTCAGAGTGAGACCGTCTCCAAAAAAAAAAAAAAAAAAGAACAATAAAAAAGAAGAGGCTCCAGAGAGCTTGTGTGCATACTTACTCTATCCCTGCCATCCAAGGACACAGTGAGGCAATGGTGTCTGGAAGCCAGGGAGCCCTTACTAGAACCCAACATACTGGCACTTCATCTTGGTCTTCTAGCCTCCAAAAACTGGGAAATACATTTCTGTTGTTTAAGCTACTCAGTCTATGGTATTTCATTATGGCAGCCTAAGTTAATTCACCCATAAATGTGAGGGTTTATTTCTGGTTTCTCAGTTCTATTCCACCAGTTTGTATGTCTGTCCTTAATGCCAGTGCCACTTATCTGTTTTGACTTTTATGAGAAGTCAGTTGGATTTTTGTGTTTTTATGTCCTTATGTATCTTTTATATGTCTAAAAAACTTCTGGGATATCTGTCCTTATATCCCAGAAATTTTTTAGATGCCAGTCTTTTAGTTATTTGCTGACGTGGTTTTTGCCTATAATCAAAATGACATTTACATTAGTATAGAAAATTATCTTTGGATAATTATATTTTAAGTGTATTTATGTGATTGGCTTATTCATTTTATGCTTTAGCAGTTGCTTTAATGACTTTTTTCTTTATTGTTTCTGTTTCGTGTGTGAAGCTCCTATGGAAAGCATAAATGGAAAATTGCCTAACTTCGGCTACCTGTGTTCATTAAAATAATATACTATAATTTAAGCAGATACTTTAAGTACAACGTAGAAAATCATTTTCATTTTTCAGTACAGGTTATATGCTCATCATTGAGTTTGAAATACCAATTTTTGTTTTGTTTTGTTTTTTTGAGACAGGAGTTCCACTCTTGTTGCCCAGGCTAGGGTGCAATGGCATGATCTCGGCTCACTGCAGCCTTCACCTCCCGGGTCAAGCGATTCTCCAGCCTCAGCCTCTTAAGTAGCTGGGATTATAGGCATGTGCCACCATGCCTGGCTAATTTTGTATTTTTAGTAGAGACGGGGTTTCTCCATGTTGGTCAGGTTGGTCTCGAACTCCCAACCTCAGGTGATCTGCCCACCTTGGCCTCCCATAGTGCTGGGGTTACAGGTGTGAGCCACCGCACCCAGCCAAAATATCAATTTTAAAGTGTACACTTTTTTCTCCTAGTAGGTAATAGAGAATTGTTATAAGAACAAGCTTTGTGGTGAAGCCAGTTCTACCACTTCTGTGTGAACTTAGACTAATCACTTACCATTAGTTTCCTCATCTGAAAAATGGGCACATTAATAATACTTATAGTGGTGTTGTGATGGTTAAATGTGATGGTTATAAAGCACTTAGCACAGTGACCTGGGCATATGGTAAGCACTGAATAAAATTGTTTTATAGGTAGTGACTGCAGATATGGCTCAAATGATTCAGTGGAAAGTTGTGCTTGCTTTTTGAGCTCATGATTATTGCATTATTCATAATAGCAGGTGCTATGAAATTATACACTTCTTCAGCTGTTGAGTGTATGTTTAAAAGAAGATCCTTGGCATAGATCAGATTTTTATACATTAGAGAAAGGGAGACATTACATCAATGATATCCTTTATTTGTTATCATTGAAAGTGATTGGAAAAGATTGAATTAGACCCAGTATGGGAGAGTGGAGGAAGCACTGGACTTGGCAGTAAGACAGATCTGCCTTCTGGCTGTGCATTATCTTGTTTTACTGTTTTTTAGC